GTGTTGTTCTCTTTGGGTCCCATCTCTCGGGAGTTCTGTGTGCCTCCGTAGTCTGAGCAACTATTTCCTCCTCCAGTTTGGGGAAGTTCTCAGCAATTATTTCTTCAAAGACACTTTCTATCCCTTTTTCTCTCTCTTCTTCTTCTGGTACCCCTATAATGCAGATATTGTTCCTTTTGGATTGGTCACACAGTTCTCTTAATATTGTTTCATTCCTGGAAATTCTTTTATCTCTCTCTGTGTCAGCTTCTATGTGTTCCTGTTCTCTGGTTTCTATTCCATCAATGGCCTCTTGCATTTTATCCATTCTGCTTATAAATCCTTCCAGAGTTTGTTTCACTTCTGTAATCTCCCTCCGGACATCTGCAATCTCCCTGCAGACTTCATCCCTTAGCTCTTGCATATTTCTCTGCAGCTCTGTCAGCATGTTTATGATTTTTATTTTGAATTATTTTTCAAGGAGACTGGTTAGATCTGTCTCTGCAGATCCTCTCTCAGGTTTTGTGTGAACTATCTTGAACTGGACTAAATTTTTTTGCCTTTTCATGGTGATAGCGGTGGCTGTAGGCAGGTTGCGGGTGTATCAGCTGGGAGAAGAAAGTCCTTTCCTGCTTACTGGATGCCTTGCCCTTCTCGGCTGCCTGTGTTGGTTACCCGCACTCCTGTAGCAGCCACCGGGTTAGTCCCCTAACCCGCTGTGGGCAGGGTCTCCATCATAGCAGCATGGAGCCCTGTGGAGAGTGGCAGGCATGCCAGGTGCTCTCCTCCATGATAGCGGCGCCCCTGCTGGGCAGCTGTGTGCCAGCAGCAGCCTTTGGGTCTAGCCCGGGTGGCTGTGCTTTGGGCCAGGATTCTGGTCAGGAGCTGGAAGCATGCCTGCTCCCTCTGGTTCCACTGCAGGTGTGCATGGGGCTCTCCCACACAGGCCTCTACCGTGCTCCTCTGGCTCCACTGCCACCAGTGCGTGCGAGCTGCACCCGGGCTGTTCAGTTGTTGCTGCTGTGGGGTTGCACAAGCCTCTCCTGGTCCCCTCTGGTGCCGTTGGTGCATGTGATCTGCTCCCGGTCCCTTCTGGCGCCGCCACCCCTGGCACGCGCTGCCACTCTCCTGCTACTGGGCCGGTGTGTCAGGGTCCGTGCCAGTTGGAGAAATGACTGGCAGGCTGCTTAGTGCCGTGAGGGGCTTCAGAGCTGGGCTGCTTCCACCGGGGTTTAGGGTGCCTAAGTCTTCCCAGGATTCCCAGCTGCTGGCTAAGTGTGCCGGGACGACTTCGTCCAGCTATGGGGTCACTGTCTCTTTAAGACTTGCAGAAAGCACTCACTTTCCTTTTGTCTCAGGGGCGCTGGTTGTGGGGACCTGCTCACAGGTTTTGCTTTTCCATTTCTCTAATATCCAGCACCCCATGCACCTTGTGTCTGCGCTCCGGGTGCAGATTTCTAGAGCTGGTTGTGTAGCAGTCCTGTGCTTTCTCTCCCTCCCCATTCTGACTCCTTTCTTCCCACCGGGTTCTGGGGTGGGGGAGCATTTGGGCCCCGCCTCGCCGCAGCTTGTATCTTACCCCCTTCATGTGCTGTTGAGTTCTCACAGATGTAGATGTATCCTGGCTGTAGTACTGCATCCACTGGTGTCTCTTTTAGTAGTTGTATTGATTGTATTTTCATAAATACATTGGGAGGAGATTTCCTCTGAACTACTCACGCCATCTTCCCATGATCTCCAGTTGTTTTGATAAACTCATAATCATGTATATTTATATTCAGAATGTATAGTTATATATTACATGTGCAGTATCCTGTAACTTTTTCTTACTAATTAATATTCCATGTAAGTAAATGCAAGTAAATCTATTTCATCCTTTTCACCAGCCGCACAGCATTTTCTTGTATGCCATTACCATAGATAAATCAATGCCATCAATGAACACTTAACCAAATAGTTAAAATCCTTATACATACAAGTGCATATTTTTATTCTTTCCCCCAGCTTGAGAGATAATTGACACATAACATTTTTAAGTAGGTATATACAAAATAAGGTATACAAAGTGACGATTTGAAATACATATATATTGTAAAATGATTACCACAGTAAGATTAATGAACACATTCACCACCTCAGTCACAATTTCTTTTGTGTGGTGAGAACTTTTAAGACCTACTGTCTCAGTAACTTTCAAATATACAATGTTGCATGGTTAACACACTTAACCATGCTGTAAGCCACGTCCCTAGAATTCATTCATCTTCTAACTACAAGTTTGTAACCTTTGACTACCTTCAATTTGTAGAAATAGAATGGCAGAGTTAAAGAATATGTACTTTTTAAATTGATAAGTGCTCTTTTACAGTGCAGATATTCACTTATCTCTATAGTAGCACTGTATTTTTCCTTCAAAATTTTCCATGTTTTTCCCATGCAAGTGGTTTTTAAATTTTTGTCATTAGTTTTTGTGAAGTAAAAAACATGTAACATGTACTCTATTCTTTTGACAAATTTTTAAGTGTACAGTACTTTTACCTATATGCAAACTGCTGTATACATCTCGAGCTTTTTCATCTTGCATACCAAAACTCTATACTCATTGTCCTTTCCCAAAGGACACATTCTATCACAACATACTATTCTTTTATGAATTTGATTAGATATCTCATATAAATAAAATAATGTGATGTCTGCCGTTCTGTGACTGGCTTATTTCACTTGGCATAACTTCTTAGGTTTATTCATTCTGTCACATATGACAGGACTTTCTTTTTTAAGGCTGAGTAATATTCCAGTGAATGTACATTGATCTGTATCCATTCATTTATGTTCCCACTTCTTGGCTATTGTGAATAATGTTGTAATAAATAAGGAAGTATAAATACTTTATCAAGATCCTGATTTCACTTCTTTTGAATAAATACAAGTGGGATTGAAGGATTATATGGTAGCTCTAGTTTTAATTTTTTATGGAAACTCTACCATTTTCCATAGTGGCTCTATCATTTAACATTCCTACTAACATACAAAAAGGTTCCAATTTCTCCACATCCTTGCCAACACTTATTTTCTGAGGTTTTTTTGGTTGTTATAATGGCCATCGTAACAAGTGTAAGGTGAATCTCACTGCAGTTTTGATTTTCATTTCCCTGATGATTAGTGATATTGAGTGTTTTCATACCTGTTGGCTGTTTGTGTATCTTCTTTGGAGAAGTATCTAACTTCCTTATACATTTGTTTTTTTTGTTTTGCTTGCTACTGAGTTATAGGAGTTCCGTATATATTCTGAGTATTAACCCCTTATCAGATATATAGCTTGCAAATATTTTCCCCAGTCCATAGGCTGTCACTCCAGTGATTTTGTTTCCTTTGCTGTGCAGTTCACTGAGTTCCACTTATCTATTTTCACTTTTGTTGCCTGTGTTTTTGGTGTTAAACTCAAATCATTGCTAAGGTGAACATTATAAAGTTTTTCCCCTCTGTTTTCTTCTAGGAGCTTTATAGTTCCAGGTCTTAAGTCTAAGTCTTTAATCCCCTTTGAGTTGATTTCCATGTATGGCATAGGGGCCCAATTTCATTCTTCTGCATGTGCATATCCAGTTTTCCCAATACCATTTGTTGAAGATATATGTGTATTTTTCAAATTTTCCTTGTAATTTTTAACGTGTTTTGAAAAGGCCTTCTCTACTATGATTATCAAACTAATCTTTTATTTTCTTTAGTCCTTTAGTTTTATTGTTCTACATGTAAACCTCTAAGTGTTTTCCTTTACCCCTTCCCACCCAACCCCCTAAAAAAGAAAGTCAACTCTCCCACACTGATGTTGTATAATCTAACTCTCCTCTTGTCTCTGTTACAAGAGACTTCTTTTTGGCCAAAAATATAAAATACACAACCAAAAGTGAACTGAACAATAAAAGGAATTTATCATCTCACATAACAAAAAGTCCAAAGGTAAAGCAGTTCCAGAACTGGTTAATTCAGAAGCACATTTCAGGTGCTTTCTACCTGTGCATCCTGCTATCTTCACTGCAATGGCTTTCATCTTCATGCTTGTCCCTTTATGGTCATCAGATAGGAGAGGAGGTGAGAGAGATACTAGATGTGCACTCATCCCCAACCCCCAGAGAAGGTATGGTCTGATGAATGTTGATGTGACTAAACCAATTATCCACCCTCCTGCCCTTGGGGAATAATAACTAGGAAGAAACATAAAGATGTTAGAACCTTCATCAGCACTTCCACACTTGGGAAGAGAAGCTGATAGTCAAGACTGTAACAGGACTAAGAATAAAAAGTTCTTCTTAAATAGGAATAATATTCTTTGGCCCTAGAGTCACTGAATTCACATTTCAACTAATCTATATTTCACTTGTAGTACATTACTGGAGTTCTCAAGCACTGAGTTCTATTAAAATGAAATTAAGTTTTTAAGTAATTTAAGCAGTTTAGATATGATGTATATGTGTGTACATCTATGTGTCTATATATATATCGCACACACAACACACAATGTAAGTAATGAACTTATACAGGCATAAAAGGCATTAATAGAAATAAATTATAATCAATAAAATAAAAATTAAGTTTAATATCATACTGTTTACTTTTCTTAAATAAGACAAATTCATAAAACAAACCCAAACTTTGTTCATTCTTACAAATGATTCTGACTGATGCATACTTTTCTTTATGCTAATTTATGAAACCCTGAGTTTTGCTTCTCCATCTGTAATTAAATACACACCACTCTGAGCAAATAATATTTAAAATAAGGATCCTATATCTTGGTATTTAGTTATTTGAAATCAGGTTTTCATTCTCAATAGTCTCACTAAAGTGTGCATTCTGGTAGAATGTCTCTTTACCTGCTTTAACTTGGTCTGTGTTAAATTGATAAAATACAACTGTACACCTGCTTCAGAGTGCATCTTTCATTACAGAAGTTAGCAAATAGTTTACATCAAAACAAATGTCCAAAAGTGTAATTAAATCATTGCTACTTGAAATACTTTATATATGAATAATTTATCTCTTTACACTGATGAAGACTTTCATTTCAGTATGTTCTACAGCTTCTGTATCATCACTTGAAATTTACCTGAAAAAGAAAACATGAGAAATAATTTTTTGATTTTATACACAAGGAAAACAAACTTAAACATCAATTTCTATTTAGGAAGTAGTTTCAATCAAGCAACTTACTGTCAAACAACTTTTCACACTATTCACAATATTCAATAAATTCAATTTCATTTTTATGAGATGATTATCTGGTTTCTGAACAGGTGTCTTTGTTTCTCTTTATGATTTTTACCTTTTTGGTATTTCTCTGCTAATTATCATTGTGAATAGAAAGAAAATACAGTGATTCTCAAGTCAATTTTACTCTTGGTTGGTAGCTCTGGTAAAAAGATCTCTAGAAAGGAGTTCAGCATATAACGACTTGGCTTTATTTAGATTATAGAATATAACATGGGAAACTGTTTAAAAATTTTTTAATGCTCTAGGGAAATTTGTACCTTAAAAGAACACTGCAGAAAATTTTCCTCTAAAAGTTAAGATCATCATTTAAATTGTCTTATATATTTGGATTTCTTTAGCACATTTTAAAAATCATCATCCATTATGAATTTAAAAATCACTGAATATGAATATAAATATGCTACATATTACTGCATTAAATGGTAATGTTGATGAAAGTAAAATAAAATTGTTTAGAGTTTTAAATTTCCTTTAAGTTAACAAAAATGAAAAAGAAATAACCCAAACACCCCAGACCTGAAAAATAATCACTAAAAACATTTGTAAGAAATTTGACTTCAACTTACAGGCAGGCATTGAAGACACTTCAGCTGTTACAATACTTTTTATCCCCAAGTTTGATAAGCCACCTCTGATTAAGCCACATGTAAATGCTAAATACTGAAAGGAACAAAAAATGTACAAAATATTAAGGATTTCCTAAGGTGGTAAAGCCATTGACAACTATGACATTAATTCATTGTGGTTTTAAACAAGGATTGTGGAAGAATTTTTCAAATTACTGAAAATTCTGATTGTTAGATTGCCTGCCCAGCTCCTTGGCAACTAAAACATGCACAAATGACTTAAGCTTGGCCAACTGGATGTTTAGTCCAGAACTCTGAATCTAGAATGACTGACAAAAACAAGCTGGAAACAGGTTAAAATTAGTTCTAGAGGGAGCAAAGGTGACTTGTCTCTAATGTCAGTGCTGCCTTCAGGACTGTAATTAGAACCTCCCTGTGGAGTGATCTGGGCTGTCCTTCTGGCTGCTTCCAACTCCCAAGGGTTCGTGCCTGTTTTTACAGCCTTCCCATCAATTCTGTAAGCTAACTAACATTATTTCATCCAGAGTTGGCTTCTGCTTCCTACAACCAAGAATGTTAACTTGTTCAAGACTTACAGCCGGCCACAAGAAAGAATTATCTAGTTCAACATATAAATAGTGCCAATACAGAGAAACCCTGTCACATGGAAACAAGGAAAGGGAATGGGACTGTGTTCCAGCAGAGAAAGCCAGGATACGAATGGGAACTAAAAAATGACAATCCAAAGAATTTTTGATTATCAACATTTCTGCATTGCATGACATTCAACAATACTGTATTTATGAATAACATAGAGTATTATTATAACTCATATACATAAATGGGTCCTGGTAAGTACTCTCTGGAGTCACGAAATTTTATAGGTATTTTTTAGGTATTATAACCTACATTAAAGGTATTTTAGAGGTATTATAACCAATTTCACTAATAAGAAACTAAGATCCAGAGGGGTTATATAACTTACCCAGTGTCACAAACCCTTAAGTTACGGAGTTAGCTTAAAATCTAGATTTATTTGGTCCTCAGTCCATGCTCCTTCCACTATACCCATACTACCTTTGTGTTAGATAATTTAGGTCTGGACAAATTGTTACAGATAAACCGCCATTTATACTGCCCGGAATATTTTAATGACTTCAAAAGAACCCTTACAAAATGGCCATCCTGCCTAAAGTAATGTACAGATTCAATGCAATTCCTATCAAAATACCAACAACATTCTTCAATGAACTAGAGAAAATCTTTCTGAAATTCATATGGAACCACAAAAGACCCCTAATAGCCAAAGCAATCCTGAGAAGGAAGAATAAAGCTGGGGGGAATTATGCTCCCCAACTTCAAGCTCTACTACAAAGCCACAGTAATCAAGACAATTTGGTACTGGCCCAAGAATAGACCCATACACCAATGGAAGAGACTAGAGAGCCCTGATAAAAACCCATACATATATGGTCAATTAATATATGATAAAGGAGCCATGGATATACAATGGGGAAATGACAGCCTCTTCAACAGCTGGTGTTGGCAAAACTGGACAGCTACATGCAAGAGAATGAAACTGGATTATTGTTTAACCCTACACACAAAAGTAAACTCAAAATGGATCAAAGACCTGAATGTAAGTCATGAAACCATAAAACTCTTAGAAGAAAACATAGGCAAAAATCTCCTGAATATAAGCAAGAGCAACAACTTCCTGAATGCATTTCCTCGAGCAAGGGAAACAAAAGCAAAAATGAACTCATGGGACTACATCAAACTAAAAAGTTTCTGTATGGCAAAGGACACTATCAACAGAACAAAAAGGCATCCTACAGTATGGGAGAATATATTTGTAAATTACATGTCCAACAAGGGGTTAACATCCAAAATATATAAAGAACTTACACACCTCAACACCCAAAAAGCAAATAACCCGATAAACAAATGGGCAGAGGATATGAAGAGACAGTTCTCCAAAGAAGAAATTCAGATTGCCAACAGACACATGAAAAGATGCTCATCATCACTAATCATTAGGGAAATGCAAATTAAAACCACAATGAGATAACACCTCATACCAGTAAGGATGTCCAGCATTGAAAGACTAAGAACAACAAATGCTGGCGAGGATGTGGAGAAAGGGGAATCCTACACTGCTGGTGGGAATGTAAGCTAGTTCAACCATTGTGGAAAGCAATATGGAGGTTCCTCAAAAAAATAAAAACAGAAATGCCATTTGACCCAGGAACCCACTCCTTGGAATTTACCCAGGCAGAGAAAGACAAGTGCCAAATGATTTCCCCCATTTGTGGAGTATAACAACGAAGCAAATTGAAGGAACAAAATAGCAGCAAACTCAGAGACCCCAAGAAGGGACTAGCGGTTACCAAAAGGGAGGAGTTTGGGAGAGCCGGTTGAGAAGAAGGGAGAAAGGGATTGAGGGGTATAATGTTTAGTACACATGGTGTGGGGGATCACGGGGAAAACAGTGTAGCACAGAGAAGGCAAATAGTGAATCTGTAGCATCTTACTACACTGATGGACAGCGACTGCATTGGGGTATGGGTGGGGAGATGATAATATGGGTAAATGTAGTAACAACATTGTTTTCTCATGTGAAACCTTCATAAGAGTGTATATCAATAATACCTTAATAAAAAATTTTAAAAAAAAGAACCCTTACATTAAAACTTGTCAGCTTTCTTTAACACATCATCATATCTACTTATTAAATGATTCCTGGAATTGAAAAACTAAACTATACAAAACCCAGAAACACAGATATACTTAACACAAAATACGTATTCTTAGAAACATATTAAAAATTTATTTTTCTAAGAGATTGTAAATATAGACTGAGATAAATAATTTTGCACAACTAATGCCAGTTTTATAAGCAGCTTGACTTGTAAATTACATGTCCAACAAGGGGTTAACATCCAAAATATATAAAGAACTTACACACCTCAACACCCAAAAAGCAAATAACCCGATAAACAAATGGGCAGAGGATATGAAGAGACAGTTCTCCAAAGAAGAAATTCAGATTGCCAACAGACACATGAAAAGATGCTCATCATCACTAATCATTAGGGAAATGCAAATTAAAACCACAATGAGATAACACCTCATACCAGTAAGGATGTCTGGTATGTATCTATGCTGTATTTAAGAATCTACAATTAATCTACATTTCAGTGATATTTATTTACAGTTTCTTCAATTAGTCATCATAAGCTGACTTAGCTACATGTTAATGTAAGTTATTTTAATATGATGAACATCTGTCTCTTATTTCATAGGAAAGTGTTTATACAAAAAAGAACAACTTTAAAACCTATTTTAAATTCAAAAGTCTGTTGTGATTGGCATTGTAATTTTCCTAATGGTTCTACGTTTCTCATAAGAGAACCCCAATCTTCTATTCTATTAAATACCTTAGATGCATGTTCTAAATACTGTTTTCCTGCAGACATCTGAGTAAGCAGACGAAATTTGTTGTCCTGAAGTACATAGATGCCCTGTTCCAAAAACAGAAAAAGCATCGAGTCAATGTAGTCTATAGTCCTTAAAAATTAACTTTTCCCTTCAAAACACTTCAAGAGTTTTGCAACAGCTATTAAAACTCTCTTAGCCAAATTTTCTTTAAATGAAGGAGTTTTGCAGTGTTTAAGCTGAAGAGTTGTTTAGCATTTTGTAACACAAATACTATTGAATTTTAGATACTGAAGATACAAAGATAGATAAGACATAGTTCCTATCTTTAAAGAACTCACAGTCGAGTGCAAAGGAATCAGAAATACATGTCCAAGTGAAATCAGCAATTACTTATATTATTAACTCATATCTAGAAAACCAATAGTCAGAGTTACTCTTTTCACTAGCATTTCATGTACTTCCAAGCTAAGGCTGATACTGTTATATGAAGAAATGAATTCTCTTGGTAGCTACTAGATACACTATTTTCATTCTTCCTATTTAATCAAAATCCAGATCACTCTAAATATATCCTTGATTTTTATAAAATATTTAAAAGCATAATTTTCCATATAATCTGCTAATTTTTATATTAACAAAATATTTTAAGAATAGAAAATATGACAGCAACCAAACAATGCAAGAGATAGTTGAGTATTTAAGAGCATATTTATTCTCTATAAATTAGACTTTAAAGACACCACTAATAACTAAGGAACCAAATGCTAAAACCTTTATTCTCTGACATTTGCTTTTTAACTTAAAATAACTTATTTAATTGGAGAAAAGAAATAGCTATCATTACTGATAATTGTCCTTTTGTCTATATTCAGTATACCCCAGTAGAGAGAAAAAGTAATTTATTATGAATAACATATAATAAAAACATTCTAAAATTAACTAGAAATTATCTTAAATTTTATATAATAAGTAAATCACTAAAACAGGACATTAAGTTAAAGGACTTTAAAAAATAGGCCTTAATTTATCTAAGTACCTGATGATTTGTCCGTAGATTGTCGATTTGTTTCTTAAATACTGTAGTCCAAAAATCTTTACAAATGAATTTCATGATATCTAACTCATCCTTGAACCTTGCAGTATCTTTTGTAAACCTAAAAAGATTGACTAGATGTAATACAGTATTTTTCCTCCAAAAAAAGCAGGAGAGGCAAATTATTCACTAATTTCAAAAGCCAGAATAGTACTGAACATTTGACAGTCATAAACTCAAAAGCGCCAAGCAGAGGAGATCCCATATCAATGGATTCACATTCTCAAATAATTACGGTGTTAAAATTAGCCTAACAGTATATTAGTTTACCAGTAAGCCACAATTTTAGGTACAATTCATTCTAGCATAAAAAAAAAACAGGCTGAACATGATCCTGGTATTGTTAAAGAAAATACAATAGGAGTTCACTATTCAGAGAGTGAGAGATAAACACTAAAAAGAATTGACCTATAAATTGAAAGATTACTGAATTTATAAACATAGACTCTAAGGCATTCCTATCCTTATGCATTTAAACAAAATTCCGCTTAAGTTTAAGAACCTACTAAACCTTAAGTAGGAAATGCAACAAGATTTTAGTTGTTTCAGTATACCAAAGTTTTCAGAAAAAAGTCTAAAATGTAAAATATCTATTTTCTTCAAATACCAAGTCATAAAGTTGGAAAAAAATTTAAAATAGCATCAGACCTAATAAGATAGTTCAACTTGTGATATTAAAGAACACAGAATAAATAAAATATGGGAATTAAAATTAAAGTTATCTCAAATTTTAGGTAATCTTTTGAAATGGATCATCTTTGTTCATAACCTACCTGGAAGAAAATTTTCAAATCCATACTGCTCACCTTTCTATCAATCCTTGTCCCACTCGAAACCCCATGTTTTCCAGTTTAGTAATACAGCGTCCATTTTCCTATTTTAAAAAATAATAGTTTTGAGTACTTTTAGAATGCCAGAATGTTAATATTCAAAAATTGTTTTAAGATGTTGGCTAAAAATTTTAATGTAAATATTTACACTTTTTCCACTGAAACACTGAATTACAAGTGATACTTGAATTTTCTTAGCACTAATCATTTTCATAAGGCAGTAAGATAAACAGGAACTGCTACTTATTAATACTTTTCAGAAGCACCAAAGCCTCTTCCTAACTACAGCTACCCCCCTCAACACTTTTTTCTATTTTCAACTATTTTCATCTCTTCAATTATAAAAGTGAGGTTAAAGGTATCACCTTTGACTGTTTTCCATCAGCCATTCCCTTTGTGCTGTCATTGCGTTTTATGGTTCCCTGCTTCAAAATCTCTTAGAGTCATCCAAGTTTTCCGGTTCTCAGTGAGTCTTCGTTCATGATCCCCCCATCCTATGCCTGGAATCACGCAATTACTTTGCAATTCCTTTGACAGTCTCACCTAGTCTTAAGGCTTTAAGTATCACCCCTTATTGTAACACTTTTCAGACTGCCCAGATCCTCTAGATGACCTACAAAGCCTTATACAATCCAGACTGCTGTACCTCTCTGACCTCAACCTTCTACTTTTCACTCATTTGTCTCTAGCTACACTGGTCTCCTTGCTGTCCTTAAACATACAGCCATGCTCCAAACTCAGGGCTCTAGCAAGGGCAGCTCTTCCTTCCGATAGTCACATGACCAATTTCCTTACTTCAAGTCTCCACTCACATGTCACCACCTCAGTGAGGCCAATTTTAACGATCTTCTTTAAAACCACAACATCATTGTTCTTCAGAAACTCCCTGTCCTAGTAATTCTCAAAAGTGTGTCCCAAGACCAGCAACATCAGCATCTCATGGGAACCTGTAAAAACTGCAAATTCTGTAATCCCACCCCCAATTTATTGAATCAGAAACTGCAGGTGTGGAGTTGTTTTTTAAGAAGCCCTCTAAAAAGTGATTCCAATGCCCGATCCCATTTCCCTGTTTAATTTGTCTCCAAAGAACTTTCATCTTCTAATACACTATACATTTTATTAATTTTATATTGCCCATGTATCCCCATCCTCACCCACTGCTAGAACACAGTTCCGAGAGGGCAGTGATTGTTACATATTTTGAAGCCCGTATGTCTCCCAGTAAGTACATCACAAGCCTCATTATTTACTGAACTTTCTTCTAAGGAACCATGTACTTCACTAGTGGGGCTGTGACTTCTCACTTTATTTTCAGTATGGATTTTACTGAAAATAGCCATCTGGAGGCCCCATAGGCCCCTCAAACTAGGAATATTTAAAATGATAGTCATTATCTTGTTCATTTACTTTGGCATCCGTGACTGCTCACTAGTAGATACCAGATTTTTAGAAAAATTAAACGAGAATATTTTATCCATTAGCCTTTAAAAAAATTTATATTTTTTATAAATTGGTAAATGCCTAATTGTTCAGTTTTCAGAGATTTTAATTCCTCTTCATAGTTTGACAATCCAATTTGGAGGGTGACAGTGGTTCTTTCCTCTATTTCACTTCAAAACTTACAGCTTTATGTCTGAAAAGATATATTAAAACCATTTCTAGGTGACATTATGTGCCTTCTTTTACATATTTTTATTACAAAAAATTTGAAATAGAGACACTAATGTAATGAATCCTTATACATCTAGGTTCCAACATGGATTCTAATCCTTAAGACTGCCACATAACTTTTTAAAAATCCATTTTGCTTATGTGCACTTTCAACTTTTTCCCATCATAAATAAATTGCAATAGGAAAAGAAAGTTATTTTTTTCTTTTGGAGTTCCTTTCTTATACGACTAACACATCTCTTAAAATTATCAGTCATGATTAGAATAGCTGTTTTATTTTAGTTAATCCATTGGAAAAAAGAGAGGAATTAAAAAAAAAAAGATTTTCCTGGGCCAGAGTTGGAAGAGGGAAAGAAATGAATGAGAGAAGAGAATGAAGAGAATGGTGGGTGAAGAGCAAGGATTTTATAATAAAAGAGTAAAAGGAGTACATTGCTAATTATTCTTTGGGGAAAAGGGAGACTACCTTTGCACAAACAGCAAATGTCTACTACTCAGCATTTAGCACAGATGTTAAACATAAAAAATCATTGATTGTTGGCGATAAAGTTTGGTCCTTGGAAAAAATACTTATTATAGTGAGTCTGAATAAGAACAGAACTTGCTTCATTTTCAATAATCCGATATTTTCCTAATGAGATCTCCAAATGCATTATGCCCCTCTGCCAAAGACTGAATGTCTTCCCTCCAAATTCATATGTTGAAATCCTACCCTATAATGTGATGGTATTAGAAGGTAGGACCCTTGGCAGATGATTCTGTCATTAAGATGGGGTGCTCAAGAATAGGATTTAGTGCCCTTATAAAAGAGACCTGAAAAATAGCTAGCCCCTTCCACGTGAGCACACAGCCAAAAGGCATCTATGTATGAGCCAAAAGCAGGCCTCCACCAGTCACCAAATATGCTGGCATCTTGGTCTTGGACATCCTAGTCTTCAGAACTGTGAGAAATAAAGTTCTGTTGTTTATAAGCCACCCAGTCTATGGTATTTTATTATAGCAGCCCAAACAGCCTAAGACACTATTCTTTTTGTAGTTTACAAACCAGCAGTACCTTTTTTTGGGTGTCTGTCCTACAGAAACCTCAAAAAATTCAGTCTGTCCAAAATAATTCATTATCTTCACCTCTTTCTTCTCCTTTATTCCTTCTCCATCCAACTAAGCTGCTCAAGCTAAAAACTCGGGGATAATTTTTAACAATCACTCCTATACCTAAACATGTCCCAGAAATTCTACCTATCTTCTTCTATCCCTGTCTTAAATCAGATCTTCATTATCGCCTACCTAGACTGAAGGAATGGATCGTCTAACTACAAGAATCTACCCTCTCTCATCTAAACACTGGATTCTATTTCAAAAAGCAAATGGGCCATATCATTCCTTTCCTTACAAGTCCTCCACTGAGAAGGTCCGAATTCTTTGGTCAGACAAGGTTCTTCTAGCTTCAGTTCTCAACCCTTCTCACCCTCCACGCATTCAATCTAGTCACAGTGAAATGCTTAAGCATTTTAAATACACCACAACACTCTTTCTTCATATCTCTATACCTTTACTATGCCTAGGGTGATCTTCCTACCCCCACTTTCCACCCCTCTTCGTCAACAGCATTATAGAAAGGGCTACTGACCTGAGCATGACTTTGGAGTATCTCATTTATAAAATCCATTACAACTCCATGACTCTAATTACCACCCACTATAATATTTACTGAACCCCTATTTCATAACAACTGTGAGACAGGGGTTCTATCTAATTCATCTAACCCATTGTCAGGCCCACAACAAACAATATTTTCCAAATAAATCAATGAGTGAATGAGGACTTCCACATATTAGGAGTGACGTCCACGAATATGGGGTCATTGTTTCATTCATTACTCTATCCCTGCTCCTAGAACTACCTCTGACATATAATGGGCATCAAACAAGTATTTTTTTAATTAAACTTGTGTTTCCTATTTACAGTAACGCCTGCAAACTTTCCTCTACTTGGACCTCAGATCTCATAGGCCTTCTGTCTTCGAGTCGTGTGGGAGTTGATATTGGTTAGGGATCTGGAGGGAGGGTCAGGATTCTCTTAAGGGTGGGACAGGTCTATCGAGTGGACTGCTCAGAAGTGCTAGCTTAATTAAGTAGGGGCGCCAAAACCAGCTGTGCAGTTTACCCTGCCGTAGATCACGGTAGGGAGAACGTTGAAAGTAAAAGCTGTGGCCTGCAGGACAGATACGAGAATGGATAAAATGTATCAGGTAGTACAAACTGCGAAAGAGATGAGGATTAAAGATTAAAGACAGCCGCTAAATCCTAGGGCTGAGGATACCTGGAAGAGGACCGCTGGTTTGTCTACGTTTGTCTACGCTCGGAGGTGTTCAGTGGTGATGCGACAGGGATTTAAGAAAAGAACTGAGGGGAAAAAAGGAGTGTCACCGCAAAAGGACCTGAAGGGCGTGTGGCAGCACTCACCACCTCCCCCTGCTCCGCGGACTTGTACACCCCAGACACCATCTCGTTATGGAGAAGCAAAAACAGCGCCTCGTCCGCCATTTCCCGCTTATTCTTCCAAGCTCCGGGCTTCAGCTCCCGTTTGGGCCGGGCTCCGGGGTTCCAGCTAGCGCCTGAGCTATGCGAACTGCGCCGCCGCTCCCTCAGTTCGCACCCGTCCCTCGTCGCTAGGAGGCCGAGGAATTCACTCCGTCCTCTGAAGGCTGGTACCAGAGTGAGCACTGAAGCCGGGAGAGCACAGCCCAGGGCCACAGGCTCACCACGCTCCCGGGTGAAGAGTCTGACAGCAATGGGAACCAAGCCCAGCCGGCAGAGGCCCGGTCCCGCTCCAAGGCAAGGGGGGAAAAAAACAACTTCCGGTCCCCTCTACCCCGGCATTCCGCCAACTCTATGGTCATCGAGTTCCTTTCCCTGGTGAAGACCTGTAGGAAAAAGGTTCCTTTCCCACGTGCTGTCCGGAGGTGGCGGGTGGTGAGTGAAGTAAAGCAAAAGAAGGTCCCGCTGCCGTCCCTGTGTTAGTTAGCAGTGTTAGAACTTACAAGAATGTCTATTAGCTTCATTGAAAGCCTCCACATCTGCCATGTTCCCCAAAATAAAAAGTTGTAAAGAGTAAATAAATCATTTTTTCAGGCCATAAGTTTTAGGTATATTGGGAAATGATCCGAGTCCATTTTGAATTAAGCCTGGGTATACAAAAAGTTTTAGAGCTATTTCGGCCACCAGAAAGTTTACTGGGAGTGAGGTGTAAGGTACAAGAGAGATGAAGTAAGCAAAGAAAATGATAAACTTGAACAAGAAAATACAGATTAATTAGAGGAATAGGTGAATGGAAAAGTGCTAAAGACTTAAGAAAATCGACATCACTATGAAATGGAGTTTATAAGAATCTACGGTGGATGTGAGACAACTACGGAGGTGCAAATACATGTTACATTATATGCACCTTTTACATTTGTCAAACTGGCTCAAAGGTATTGATTAGCCTGTGATTACATTTTGCTTAGTAATTCACAAGGGCAGAACTTCTTTTCCAATTAATTTATTGATACTCTCCAGCTGAGACAAGGACCATGGGTGTAGTCAGTAGGGTGAGGGCCTCTGGAAAAAGACCCCTATCAAAACTCCATATTAAACAATTAAGCAAAGACAAAGTACATTAATTCTCTAAAATAAAATATCAAACTAGGAATATAAGCATCTTCAGTAAAGATTAGTTAAAAGTAAAAAGCCAGGAGTAACTTGGCCTAGAATATTTGAACATCTCCCAGATAAGAAAATACCTCAACATAGCCCATGTCTTGTTTGTGTCAATTAAATGAGGTATTGTAAAATTTACTTAAGTCTGCTAAAAGGCCCAGTTTATCTTTAACTTTACCCAGATGCTGCTTTTCCTCCTCCAGCCCAAATCAAGTCAATAGCTCAGCTCACCTTGAAAGTAAGACAAGCAGCCTTGAGTGATATACTCCCAAACCAAGAAAGTGCTATCCTGAGAAAGAATCAATACAGTAAATTTCTTATGTTAACTCTGCAAAATAGTCCAAAAAATTGATAAGAAATGTAGTGTCTCTTTAAAAATAAACATTTAGCGACCATTTGGTGGATCTACATCCCTAGCTCTTTGTCTCTCAACTGCCTATAAATACCCTAGACACCGCTAAGGACTCTCATGTCCCCTCCTGGTGTGAGCCAGGAGCTCTGTCCTCTCACTGTATCTCTAAATAAAATCCTCTCCCTGGCTCTCCTACCTTGACTGCTAAGTTCATTCTTCGACTCTGCAAACAAGAACCCCGGCATCACAACTAACACTGAAATTTCTCAGCTTGGTCACAATAAATTTAAGATCATGATCAATAATTGGAATTATGACATCTTTTTTTTTTCTTTTCACATGTCCCTTCTCCCTTCTAATGTTTGTATCAGTTTATTCAATCATCACATAAATCCAGCATAAAAATTCCAGCTAAGATGGAAAACATTAGTGTAGTTTTGCAGGGTATTTTGCAACCATGATCTTAATTTTTCCAGCACTAAAATTTCCCATATGTGAAATGAAGTCCCTTATGTTTCAGTTGTATTCTCCCCTCATCACCAACATCAAGGAACAGGAGTCCAAGCCCACCATTTCTGTCAGAGTAAACAACTAACCACTTTAGTAAGATTGTTTTCTCAAACCACACTAACATGGGGTTCTTAGAATATTTTGAAGAACAGAGGGAAACTTAGGTTTATTGATCATCTACTAAATGTCAAATGCTGCATTCCACTGATTCTGTCCCATAAAAGAGACTGTTAAATTGCCCATGATCCTAGTAATAGAGTCTATGGAAGTAGGAATAGATACTATATTTTTGTTAACTCTAAAAACATTTTCCCATAGAACAAATGTTACATATAGCAGTTAGTATCCACTATTACCAGATTCTCATGCTTCATGTATTGCCTATTACAAACTGTTGTAAAAAGGATCAGTGAGACAAAGTATGCTCATAATCAGAATTAAATAATTACATATCAACTTTTCATCCCTTACTCAGCTTTACTTTTCTGTAGCATTTCTCAATCCTGACATGCTGTGTAATTTACTTAGGTCTATCGACTGTCTCCACACTTGAGGGTGGAGACTTATTGTACACTGATACATCCAAATACGTAGACTAGTGTCTGGCACATTGTAAGCACTCAATAAATATTTGTTGAGTCAATGAATGAGTGCATAAATGATCTTTGTTTCGTGAGGAATCTACAAACTCCACCGAGGAAGAACCCCAGGAACTGTGTTCTCAGCTCTATCCTCAGAGACCAGCATACTGGGGACACACAGGTGGGGCTTTTAAAGGCGGTTGGATGAATTAAAGTGGTAGTTCAAGTTACATACTATTGGCCCGCTAAAGCTTGGTACAAAGAGGATGCTCGACTGAAGGAACTTGAGAGCCCAAAGATTATTTATAACACTGTCTCTGTGGAAAACTGCTTTCTGAACTATAATTCGCAAGTGTTATTTTTGGAACAAAGCCAGTTCTCACGTTGGCAGTGTAGGTGGAGCAGGACCTGAGGTCAGATGACACCCATACACCAAACAGTAGAGCCGCTCTCCCAAACTCTGTATTAAACCAAGCAGCTCTAGACTAGGTTACGGGCTAAGGCCTGCCTCAGAACCGCTTTCCTTTTCTTCTAAGACAGCGTCGCACGGGGTGTGACCGCGCGGTGGTTCTCGGCCGGCGTGGTCTAGGGACCGTTACAGTATCTGCAGACTCAATTTCCGTATTAGTAATAAGAGGCACTTCCATCAAGCTTTTTGTTGTGATTGATAAAGCATGCAGAGCGTTCCACACGGAGTACAGAACAAGACTGCCTGTTCCTTTTTCGCTTCCCTCTGCCCGTTTTGGCGTAACCTTATCCTGGGAAGCCTGCGCCACTCCTCCCACCCACTCTATGGGCATGCGCGCCAGTAGAACAGCCGCACCCTTTCGTAATCAAATCATTGACTGAGGAAGAGGGGAAAATAGACTCGAATACATCCTACTCTGTGATTAGGTGGCTAAAACGATGTAAAGTACGTCAGATCACAGGTTTAAAAGGCTGAAAAACACCGCGATCTTCACCAGGAAATCAGGCTCACAAGCCCGCATCTCGGGGGACCCGTGGGCTCTCAAACCCGCCCCGGCCCTGCGAATGATAAGGAGCCCGGCCACCCGCGGGGAACTGGGTAAGGCGGGGTCCGCCTGGACGACTTTTCCTTGGTTCAGTCCCCCTTCCGGTCGCTGAGTGGTTGAGGCCGAAAAACTACGCTTATAGTCATTGGCTGATCCCAGCTGTCAGTCCTCTCGCGTCTCGCGGCGCGACACAGCCGGCGCGGCCTGTAGAGCAGTCGGGAAGCCTGCCGCTGGGAGAAGATGGCGGTCGCGGTGAGAACTTTGCAGGAGCAGCTGGAAAAGGCCAAAGAGAGCCTCAAGAATGTGGATGAGAATATTCGCAAGCTCACCGGGCGAGATCCGAATGATGTGAGGTAAGGGGCTATGGAAAACGCCGGTTCCGAGAGGCAGCTATCAAGCCGGGGTGAATTGGGGGTGGGGAGGTCGGCCAGTCCTGAGAAGACTGGAACTTAGGGGCGCGTTCCCGGGGCGGCGGGAGAACTACGTCCTCAGTGAGGTGCGATTCCCCAAGGCCCCGCGGTCGGTCCCGGAGCTCAGGTGTGTGAGGAAGGAGAGCGGGGCCCGGGTGTGCTGCGCTGGCCCCCCGGTCTGTAGGAAGGCCCGGGCTGCCGATTCCCGCCCTTGGCCCCGCAGGCCCGGCCCTGCAGCACAAAGCCCCTTCCTTGTACCGCTGCCGCCGGGCCCGGGGCTGGCGGGAGACCCTCCCGGGACGCCTTCCGCCGCCTCGCGCCTAGGCTCCTCACCACGTGCGTCTTCCTCGGGGTTGGCAAAATTAGGACCGGATTCTTAATGTGTAGTGGCATTGAAGTAAATACAATTTCTGTGATACTGGTCTTGGAGAAACAAGGAAGTTAAAATAGTATATTTCCTGTCCAGTTTCAAACACGTGGATTTGAAACCGTCTTTATACTTTTGGTTATTTTTTCCTTATGATGAATCGCACCCGTGAAATTATTTAGTACCTCTAGGTGTGTCCACGTAACAATTTTTGTACTAATTTGTAAATATCTCACAGGCCTATCCAAGCCAGATTGCTGGCCCTTTCTGGTCCTGGTGGAGGTAGAGGACGTGGTAGTTTATTGTTGAGGTAAGATTTCCTTAGCACTTAATTCATATGCTAACACTACTGGTAGTTATTCCGCTAAATTAATATATCCGTTTTAACAAAATTTGTGGTAGAACTAGGGTTAGAAATGTTTGTGTTTGTTTAAAGTTTTGATCAGCTGTAGTTTTCTGTATAGTTAATCCTGGAACTTGGTTTACTTGCAAACTGTTGAGATTGAAGACTATATTAACTACCAGTTTTGTATATACACTTGATTATTTTTGTAGTTTTTAGAAAATGATGTAAAAACATCTCGGGAGTGAATGTTTACTTGAGGTTGCTTTAATTGGGTTTTTAAGACACCAGCTAAATTTTCTTGGTAAGTGGAAATGTTCGTCTTAAACTTCAAGTGGTTTAATGTTGGACATTTTTAATTGCAGGCGTGGATTCTCAGATAGTGGAGGAGGACCCCCAGCCAAACAGAGAGACCTTGAAGGGGCAGTCAATAGGTATGTTGGAGGAAAAGGCATTCTTGTATGCTGTTTTCTGAGGTAGCTTACAGATACAAGTATTTAATAAATATTATTGAATTGTATTAGAATTGAGTAATATTCCTCTTCCCCTTGATATTTGATTGAATTGAGACAGCAAT